GCAAGGTGCAAGGACTACAGTCTGCCTCTAGAGTTGAGTGTCAGGCCTTCGAAAAACGTGGCCAAACCACTGAAGGCGCCGGCATTGTAGCATTTTGGAAGGCTTGTCGATGTTCTAGCAGCGCCGTCGAATCTGATCATTGGAAACCCAGTGTCTAATTTATTTTCAAGCACCAATGATCGAAAACTGCGAGCTTTCTTGCAGTTTGTACTCTTAGCGGCCGTATTTCACAACCATAAGCGAAGATACGGCGGATGGAAGCCTGATAAACCCGAAGCGTAATGTTTGGGCTTTAATTTTTCTAATGTCTTTTTACTTCCTTTTTTATTTATTGGATAAACCAATGCACAGTCAACTTTCAGGAAGGGGGCCGAGGCCATATGAATGCTGCTTAGGGAAGGCTGGCAGCAATGGAGCGGTTCGAAACCGGCAACCCTGTATCAAAATTTGGTGACCTAACCGCTTGGTCACCACCGCCCATCGGTTCCACAGTGGTCTGAGGAGTTGATTTGACAAGCTCTCCGTTAATCGAGATGAGTTCCGTCTTGGCAAAAGTTTTGATCGAAAGTATCTTGGTTTCCGACGTGTTGATCTCTAGCCCAATGGTCTGGGTAAGGTGGTTTACACGACTGACAATAGACTGGCAATTATCCACAGTGACCCCAAGTACGACATCATCCGTAAACTGGAGGTCTGCAGTACATGTACCTGGGCCAAGCTGCACTCTGGGGTAGTCGATGAGTACTTGTCGCATTAACCAATCTACGGCATAACTGAATAAGACCGGCGATAGGGGACAACATTGCTTGACTCTAGAACTTAGTGTGAAATCAGCTGATTCTTCTCCATAGGTGTCAAAATTCGGTTCTTCAGGAAGTGCTCTCGATATACTTTTTTAAGTGCACCGGACAAAAATCCATTTGGGAAGAGAATCACAGGCATTTATGTATAAGCTTCAATCAATCAGATTGCCTCTGTCCGGTTTGCAAAACAAAAGTCTTATGCGGGCCAATCACAAAAACACAATTGATGAAGTAATACAAACGATCAATCCAAACAACACTTTCCAACACAACAGGTACGGACGAGTGCCTGGGTCCCAAAGTAGTACGACCTTAAAAGCCTAATGAACTTCTCGGGCATCCGTCGAACCGCAATATGCATCACAAGGATTCTACATCGGCCGAGTCAAATGCAGCGAGGAAGTTGATGAAAAATGCTACGGTAGATTGTTGTAACTTGTAGCTATTTTCCAAAATCCTACAGAGTAGTTCAGTACAGCTTTTTCTAAGATGACCCATTCCCTCATTGATTGATTAGGGCGGCTGCGAGTATCTCAGGTGACTGTGAAGCGGTTAAGCAGTATTACTTCAAAAAATTTGGCCGCAATACCAATGAGGCTAATACCCTATAATTTTCGCATCTAGATCTGTCACCCAGTTGGAACAGGAACTACAATTGACGTTTCCCAATCTTTTGGAAAAAAATTCTCATTTCAGATGGAATGGAAAAGAGAGTGCAGCGGATTGATAAGAGTTGTTAGGCAAGCTTTAAATACCTCTGGTGGTCTCCCATCTTCTGCAGGGGGCCTCCTATTTTTCAGAGAAGTGACTGAATTGGAGATGTTTTTGTCGTTCTACATCAGGTTCGGGTTTCACTTGGTATGCACATTTTTTCTGAGGTCGCAGGTGTTTCAAGCAGGGTGAAGAAAGCGTCTATTTCCACATACGTTGATTCGAATGCGTTACACGAAACGTAACAAAAGCTCAGGTGAGCTGTAACTTTTTAACAGGATACCGAAGAATTCTGATTTGAGAACAGAACAACCGATTGAGGTTATCATAGTTCAATACCAAAGGAAGACAAATGTCGCGATATGTGAGACTTTCGTTTAGTCGCTGATGTAAAACAGGCATGTTTATAACACATTGAGCTGATGATGAACGAACGTGCATAAGCAAACCAAGATTACTAAAGATAGAGGCAAAAGGTGAACTCCACAGTAAGTAAAGTGGACTCAAGCAACCGCAGATCTTAAATTTTCCTGGTTTACAGATGAACTATTCCGTTGCTTGACAGTTCTAGATGGTCTTAATAATACCGCACTCCTTTTAGTTCTGCCACAGATCTCTAGAGAAACTTTTAGTATGAAATATTCAGGGTGAGCATTTGTTCACAGTGGAAAAGTTCATTGGATCAAGTGTTGTAAGAACTGTTGTGCCCTGCCTGTTGAAGTCCCTTGCGATCGATTCTGTAGAGTTTGAAAGCATTGATGTGCACGATTCCGTCTTACATTAGATTCTGTACCCGTTCTTAGGAAGGATCAAATGAGACTTTTGTTTGCCACTTCACAAATCATGTAAATATGCATCTCTCCACGCGATAAACTAAATCAATTTGGAACGAGTATTGGGAGCGTGAATTTACACGGTGCCGTTAAGGCACACAATATACAAAGGGGTATAATGCGGACAAGCACCGAATTCTGGTACGATTCACACATACACACACACGCACACATTCGTCTTGTTCAATCATAAAAACTTAAACATCGCGTTCATTTCAAGAGAATGTTCATACTCCATGAATCTCGGAAGTCGATCAGCATACACCTTTCATTCATCAGAAATAATTCACATCTTGGTTCCTGTTAACTAGCTTTTATCAAAAGCATTCATTGGAAACCAATAAGCTTATGTCAGACTGAACAGAACGTTCAAATGCAATGTATTCAGTGCCAACACAGCACTTGTCGCAAATTCAAAATGATCCTCGAAGTTTATACACGGTGGAAATATGTGATAACCAACAAAAAGCATTGGACAGCTGTTCCGTTCCGTTTCGGACTTTTCAGCAGAGTAAACCATTCATGCCCCTATCGAAATAAGAATCCGCTACCTTCGAGTTGGGAGTCGACACCCTTACTCCTGAGCTACACGGTTTACCCACGAAGTTCACTTGATTCTTCAACGTTCGCACGCTAAGAGCGCTATCAGAAATGTAATTTAATCATCAGCGTAAAACGGATGCCAATCCCCTGCCTTTCAACTGTTTCCGAGTGAAATTCAACAACTGTCACTTATTGTCCGCCACACACAAACATGATCAAAGTGGCCCTGACTTTATTTTTAAAAATTTTTTTTTAAATTAGGAGTGTCCCTCTGTAATAAATTCACGCGACAGTCAGATAAAATTCTATTTTTCCATTTAAACTATCCTAGTTCGATGTTCGTTGCTGAAATGAAATAAGGCCTTCAGTTTCTCAAATAGACGAATACTGGTTCAAACCCAGAGGTGTGTTTTGGGGGGCTGTGACGGGACCCCGTTGTAAGCCACAAGATCAGTAGACCGTGTGATTTACGATAAGAAACGAGCCCATTCAGCAACAATAAATTGCACAAACAGCTATTCGTGGTTCACCCGACCCAAAGACCCATTTGGTTTTACCTGAAAACTCGGTGAAAACATCCAGAAACAGACTTCTTTCGACTGGACACACTAATGTATCGATGGCGTAATTGATGGCAGTGACTTCATGATATTGAACCACAGAAAATAATGATGAATAGGAAGGATTTGCATTCCTCTATCGACAATTCACCTCGACAACAAACAATAACAAATAGAAAAGTCATTTCGGGATAGGATTCCGGGAATTTCGTTACGTGGGAGATGGTGGTGTAAAAATAGAAATAGAGGGACCAGTGAAAACCATCGGCACAATGGAGTGGGAGAGATAGAAGATAAAAGGTCAGGTCAGGTTCCGTCCAGAGTGAAGATAATCGCGCGAATCAATCATGAGTCCAGTTCTGTTAGTGGTGAAGCGACACTCAAAAACTATGCGCTCAGGGGACCGCCTTGAATGAATCGTTGGATCAAATGGGAAGCGGCAATGGGTTTGTCATGTGGAACCATATGACCTGAACCACGAACAGTCACGAACCACAGTGGCGTCGCGTCATGTTTGAGAATTTTGAAGGTGCCACCAACTTGCTTTGTTCCATCGTAGTCCACGTACAACCAACGAGTCAAATTTTGTGTAACCTGTCGCCACCCGAATGCACAGATGGATTTGTGAATAGCGGTGATTGAAAAGAATCTTTTTAATGGCGAGTAGGTTATGATATTGCACTCGTCAAAGATATGCAGAGTCTACAATCTACAGTGCATCCAGGATCGATTTTGGTTGTGATATAATGCAATATGCGAAAATTCAACGCCAAAATCCCGGGTATATATATATATCACGTTTATTGCGATTAGAAGCACTTAACTCACCTATAAACACTGAATCATAATATATATAATAATAATAATAAATTAATAATATATAACATATCATCATCAATGGTCTGGTTCTCAAAGAGCTATCCAAACAAACTTACCCGCTGTTGTAAATGAGCTTACTGTGACGAAAATACAGTTCCTGGGTATAATTATATGAATGGAGAGGCAGTGGTAGACGGTGGTAGGCAGCCTTGCTGTCGTCCGGTTCAATACCACAGCTAACCTATCGGGGGCTTATGTGGTTCACCACTCAAAGTCCCGGGGTACAGGTTACCGGTTTCCATCACTGAACTGTTCATCACACGAAAGTGTGTAATAAAAAAAAGGATTACCGAATACGCATGCCTAACGAGTGGCAAAAGTGGTCGACTTGGTTCTGCGTTTCCCAGGAAATTTAGTCGAGTCATATATATTGTAAGGCATATACATATATATAGCACCAGGGGAACTAAAGGGTTGAAAGTAAACAACAGGAACAGGACGAAGGGCAACAAGTTTCGGAAGGGGGTTAACAAAACATTTTTCTGTTTGCTCACTTCACACGATTTTTGAATTTCTGTTTCGTCTTTTTTACTTTTGAGGTTGCATTTACGCCACTGACCTTGATTCAATATCATATCCCGTAGAGTTGCCTATCGACGCCAATGTGAATCTCCAAGGCCTGAGAACCTCAAGCCTTATTAATAAAACGCACATAATGCAGATTAGGAAAGGTCTTGATGAATCTGTTGCCACTCTCTACACGTTTTTAACCACAAATCTGTTTGGTCACCTTTCATTTTTCATTGTCTTGATCCGTGCGTATTATCGATCACCCGACATGCACTTTTCGTTCTCCACGAATGGCTCCTTTCCTTTGCTCGCCTACCTAACTCATTTATCTCCAGCCTCCCTCCGGTAACCGTTGTCCCTGACCCTGATGTAGTCTAACTCACTTTGTCTTCCTATTATCGTATAGGGTTGCCAAATCTTATTCGGATTGGATCTCTGTCTCACCCATGCGTCGCACTGTCCCAGGTGCACATGTGCACTTTGATATTATTTCACTCCAAATCATAAAACAGTCCCATAGACAATGTAGAAATCGGTATTCGCAAAGGTATATCGGCCAATCAGATACCTGTTCTATGGTCAACTTATATATATAAACGCCTGATGAAATATATCGAAAAGAAATTTCTTCGCGGATAAAGATTTCTACATTATTTCATTTATGGCTGGTTCGCTTGACGGTGTAGTGGACTTCTTACTTTGCACGTTGGTTCTACATTGGCATTGTTCACTTAATGTTGAGATTGTGCAAAGTTCCGTAGCCTCAGTGGGATTGGAGCCCACGCATAGACGCCACCTAAGCTCTTGTACAGCGCACGCTCTACAAGCTGAGCTACCAGGCCACACCGATACCACTGATCTTTTCAAATTCCAATTACCCATCGAACTTACAGAGGCATGTGGCATCTCCCACTTAGCATGTAAGCTGACTGCCCAAAAGGTTTTCCTTAGAATTCACCGTAGTCCGCCGAATGAACATCCAAGGCATGGTTGATTGTGCAAATAGTTGTTTGGCCGATTTACGTTTTACGTTGTTTATTTCGCCCGTTGAAACATATCCCATGGGAACGCCACGATTTGAGGTGTTGTTTGTGTAATTGTAACGCTTCGTATTCACGGTACCGCATTATTATTTGCTATTGTTTGGAGTCCAATAAAATTCTAGGACATTAGGACTTGACTTCTGTGATTGCGCGTCACTCAACGTTGGTCTAGATATTCGTACAGATCTAACAGGCCTTTCCTGCTTCCATTACGCGTTGAGAAATTTCACACACACAAACACACACACACACACACACCTTCATCAGCCATTGTGCAACACTCAAAGGAGACAAAGGTCTGAACCACTGCCAAGGCGTTATTATCCGACAAGAGCGCAGGCATAGACTACGGTCAATTTTACAGAAGCATCTTGCAATTTGAGGATTCAATATAACACCAATCAACTTTTCCCATGTATAATTTCTTCCTCACAGATCTTTGAAAACAGTTTACCATGACCTATTACGAAAACTCTTAAATCTTCAAAAAGCCAAGGATAATTTGTTTGATCTATACGTAGGAGATGCTTCCATCAGCTTTGCTCGTAGCGCCCAACAGGTGTTTCACTCATCTCTTAGGCACTTTATAGATGGTTGGTTTTGGATGGTGGTCCAGTTTTGTTCTATACACCTTGACGGCGCAGTAGTTAACCTTTACAGATGGTCGACCAACATAGCTGGGTCCGAAAGCTTGATAATTTAAAGCTATTTGCATCCGGGGGAGTGATCCATGACAGATAATCACAGATATGATATGAAAAACGGAACAAGATTGTATGAGCAAGAATTCTAAACAATAAATCAGGAATACTGAGACGAAATTTGAACACAATCGGAAGGAGTATCGGCGATAAAAGGCACTAGTCAAGATAAAACGAAAGTTCAAATGTTGATTAGGAGGTTCCATAAATTTAGAAATCCTGGAGAAGATAGTCTTTACCCGTAAAACCTACCTTCAGTTTCTGCAATAAGCATAGCAGAACTAAGGTTTAAGCTTGGTGGTGACACATAGAAGAGAGTAGAAAACCACTCTCTCTCCCTGATATGACCCACTCAGGAGCTGTTTTTCGCCTCTGCCCTTACCGGGACGAAGTACATTGGTGTTACGTTCGAACACCCTGACCATACCCCACTCCCTCTTGTAGATTGTAACGCATTTTAAACTAATTTACAATCCCCGTTCTCCTTGTGTTGCGTTTGTATTTCCATTATTTCATTCTGTCGTCCCTCTCTAAAACACAATTTCCTTTTCATTGAAAACGAAGCAGATAACAAATTAACGTGGGCTGCTCAAAAGGTCAGATTACTAAACAATAGTCTAAACCCAATACGATAATTGCGATGGAATTTTTGTAGCCTCGCATACAATGAGAAGAGATGGAACAGAAAAGCAAAGACGTCAAACAAGAGAACGTCACGATTGGATTGCACTCACCGTCAATCCGAGGCTGTCGACAAACCACAAATCACCGAAGTAGTTACATGCCATATCTACATCACCGTTATAGATCAGAGTGGGGACCTGAGCAAAGGGCAAGGGATAGGGAATCACCGGCCGTGAATGTGAAGGTTTACAGAACATATCTGTGCGCGGACTTACATGCACCTAAAACCATGGTTAACAAAAATGGTTGTTGATGATAACATAACCCACAACGCTTAATTTGTCCTATTAAGTTTCAGTTTTTACAACCATTAGCCATGAACTAACGTGCGCCGTTTATGGTTGCTGTCCCATGACTATTTCCTTGGATAAACCAGCAGAAAGAAGAATAGAATGTTGCGAGCAGAGTCGAAGAGAATTCACGTGGACTAAGGTTGCGAGAATAATGAGTCGGTGTTCGAGCGTCAGTGTTTGCTACACTCAGTCATATCACTCAGCGTCTCTAACCGCCGGTTACCATGATCTCGGTTGGGGTCCCTATCCAGGGAGCCTAAAGAGACCCATGTGACCCAATCTCCTAGTCAGGGTCTTAATTTGACTGCCCTTGACCTTTTTCCACCTAGCAACTGCCTCGGCAAACAGCACGCGCCGTGATAATCTATTTGATTGTATGCGCAATACATGTCCCAAACGACGCAGTGGGGTGTATGGGGTACCCGGTAGGAGTAGCACCTCTGACTCGGAGGGCTGTCGGCTCCTTTGGGGTATCCTCCGTTCTTTGGTCTCCACTGGGTGCTCAGCTCTCACCTGTGGCTGTTTGGATACAACAGCGGCCACACCCCGGTAAACCGCTCGGCAGGCGGGCCAAACCAGGCTGAGGGTAACCGGGAGCTCAACTCCCGGCCAGTCGGTGTCTAACGTACGTGTTATGCTGACGAAGTCGGTTTCACGACTCAGCGGCCGAGACAATGACTCCGTATTCATCAAGGATGCATGGATCCCTGTTCAGCTAGCATCTGACAATGGCGTATGAGCTCCCAGAGGGCCACCGGCAACCATGCACCACCTTCCTGCTGCCTTGCAGTTAGCACTTGGATGTACAAAGGCTAGAGATGCCAACTTGACTCAAAGCCGGGTGACGCTGGGGACGTTTCCTGTACCGAACTCCCAAGAAAC